CACAATAAATGAATGCATTTTATTCTGATAAAAGATAACAAAACATTTACCTATTTTGTCGTGTTTGGCTTTTTGTATTAAAATAGGGCGGATATTTTTTGGCGTTGAAACAAAGAGTTTTTACTTAAATAAGTAATTTGAATTATGATTGTAGCTCTTTTGAATCGCGATAACTGAAATTTAAGTCCTTCATTTTATTGATTCCAAAAATACAGGAGTGAGGCTCTTAGCGTCGTTTTCGCGTTAACTGTCGAAGGAAAATCCGACAAACAGGGTACTATTGGAAAGCTAATTTCGTGCCCTTTCAAACGAGCTATCACTCGACCCATCTTTCCATTAAAGATTAAGGGGTTGGAGCCCATCCCCGTTAGGGGTTGAAAGTGACAGGGCTAAAAATATGCAGAGAATATTTCCCCCTCCGAAACAAAATACACGTGTCCGAGCATTTTTTTCTTAAATTTCACAAAAACCGGTAAATCTAGGTGGATACTTTTCAATGGACCACTCTGTATATATTTCGTTAGCATTAGGATGTGAATTTTAATAAATAGTGATAAGTAGTGCATATATTTTGTTAGGATGTAGATTTTTATAAATACATGTGTTTTTTGTTTGAAATTTCGTTTTCACATAAAAAAAAAACAGAATGAGGTGCGACAAAGAGCTCAGTTCACGACTGGCACCTTGTTCTAAAGACTTATTCAATAATCTAACATATTATCGAATAATTCTAACAAAAAGCTCTTTGAATCGAATTTTGTTATGGATTAAATAATAAAACTTGAAATGCTCAAATGAATCGTTTTATTCTCCCCATTAAATTAATGTAAAATTAGTAAAAGGTCTAAGTCGTCGTCGTTGTTATTGCGGTCCGTCTCGTCGTTGAAAATGGATGAGCCTCTACTCTCGAGTCTTTCTGGTTGTGCACATAATAATATGATGATGATTATGATGATGAATAAAAATGATTTCTTAGTCAAACGTTCCAAACTTTTATACCACCAATCCCACTCTTACGCAACTCAACTTTCAAACAGAATCGTCCTAGAAGTTCACAAATTCGAGGTTAATATTCTGTAGTCTTGAAAATTGATTACCAAAGATTTTGCCGAGGATTTCAGTCTTCGGTAATTGAGGACTCGTGGATTTTTGTAAAAACGAATGGTGTGCGGAAAAAACAGTCTAGACCACCTTCGCCACTCGGTCCTTGTGATTCCACAACTGTGTAGAACGCATATGTCCCCCTCGAACCCTAACAAAATCGGTCAAACAAAAAAGGGCCACAAAATATTTTGATTGTAGTTTAGTTAAAATGTACAAAACTTTTTTTTTGTCTCTCTCAATAAATAAGTCACCAGTTCTAAAAGCGGTTTTAAAGCTGAAAGAGGGTTTTGAATACGGCTGCATATGTTTATTTCTTATCCCCAAATATTTCATTGGGGATTATTTAAGGTTTTCTTGAAATATTCAAAAACAAACTTGGCCCAATTGTAGAGATATATATCATTTATTAGAAAAAAAAAATTCTATAGCTATACTTATTCTAAAATTCTATAGCTATACTTATTCTATATATTATTTATTATTAAAAAAAATCCTATAGCTATACTTATTCTAAAATTCTATACCTAAACTTATGTCCACAAATTATTAAAAAACTCCTTATCTTTGGCAATTTTCACCTCTGTCTCTTCGCGTCGACCAATCAGCACACGCAGATCCACCTGGTGTAGCGCCACTTGCTGGTTGGCGTCCTCCAACTCTTGCTCTTCTGCTGCCAATCTTGTTTTCAAAGCTTCGAGTTGAGCTTTTGAAGCTTCAACTCTCCGCCGAAAATCTTCAGCATGATTGATTGACTCTTCAAGATTTTGCTCTGCTGCTACAACAGCAGCCCTCTCAGCAACAACTTTTTCCTGAAGAGCCTCCTTCCGTCGGATTACTAACTGGAGAAGGTCATCAGACTCTGGTTGCTGCAGCTGTTGCTGCTGCTGTTGCTGCTGCTGTTGCTGCTGTTGCTGCTGCTGTTGCTGTTGCTGTTGCTGTTGCTGTTGCTGTTGCTGTTGCTGTTGCTGTTGCTGTTGCTGTTGCTGTTGCTGCAGCTGTTGTTGCAGCTGTTGCTGTTGTTGTTGTTGCTGCTGCTTCTTGCTGCTGCTCTGTTCGGACGACATCTTTTGATTTTGTGCTCCTGCCCGCCGCCTTTTTGCACTGGGGCGACCTTCTTCCACCCCATCCTCCCCAGTAAACAGCATTTTCGCTAACACAGATGCCCGTTGTTCTTCGTACGCAGGCCCCCTCATCAGGTTGAGGTTTTTAACTGGCCTCCTGAGGGGGGGGACCTGTTTGGAAAGCTTCGTCTTCGTCGTCGTCAGATAGAATTACAATTGGGGCACACACAAGAGCGTCTAAGGTTATATTCCTTAGATCGCTTGGTAAATTAGCATCAAGGGTCTCTCCAATGAATGAGTTTTGAGACTCCATGATGCTAAGCTGACTGATAAAAATGTATGGGTAGGTCGACTTTTAAAGTGGTACCTCACTCCACCCACACAAAACTCGCCCACCTAAGATTTTTTCGATTGGTTGACAAATACCACCACCACCATGCGCCACCTACCCAACTACGCACTTGTATTCACACCCTCACAAATATATTCTTGTCTTCGTCTCTTCTTACAAAGTTCTGTCTCGCTTCATCATTCCCAAAGAAAACTACCCTTTTAAAAAAAGCGCGAGTTTATGGTACCGCACCACCACCCATTCTCTTAGTTGAGAAATTTATTGAATGACGTTGCAATGGCGGAACATTTTGGGAATAAAATCACACATTTTTTATATACCACCTAACCTCAATAGATTTTTGCATTAATACAGTGTGATTATCTGATAGAAAGACATTCTTGTTTTCAAATTTATCAAGCAAAACTAAAATCAAAATGTGTGTCGTTTGCCAAATGAGAGATGTATATCAAGAAGGATTGGCTTTTATAGACATGTTATAAACACCAAGCCGCACGAAAACCTGATCGAAACAAGTGCAGCTCTGGCGAATACATACCACCAAGGGATGTTCTAATAAAAAATTAGATACATTTTTTTTTTTTTTGATCCACCCTTCAAATTCGGTTTCCTGAAGTCATTACAAAAATTTTGATACCCTACACAAAAAAAGTTTTTTCAATTTTTTTTTTTAAATTTGTGATAAGCGACTTATAAAAAAAAAAAACTAAAAACATTTTCGTTGGGGAGCCGCAAATTGCTTCTACATAGTTTATTAATGAAAATTCTTATAGCAACAATAAAATACATTGCAAAATAATGGCTTTATGGTTTTAAAGTATCTCAGTTATTTGGAACACCTGCACTTATACAGAATGTATTGTATGAAAATGGATTTCTCTAAAAGCTTTTCAAAATAAATCCACCTGCCTTTTAACAAAAAGTCCCAATTGTTCGAGATTTGCCATTGTAGTCAAAAGCCTATTGTCCTATTCGACGGATAGATTTATGCTCTCGAAATATTCCAGTTATTCGGAACACCTGTACTTTTACAAAATGTATTGTATGAAAATGAATTTCTCTAAAAGCTTTCGAAAATAAATCCGACACCTGTCTTCTAACAAAATGACCCAATTGTTCGGGACTTGTCATTGTACTCAAAAGCCTATTGTCCTATTCGACGGATAGATTTATGCTCCCAAAATATCCCTGTTATTCGGAACACCTGCACTTTTACAAAATGCATTGTATGAAAATACGTTTGTCTCCGACCTTCCAAAAATAAATCCGACACCTACATTCCAACAAAATGTCGTTGATCGTAGATAATCTTAATGCTTTCACAAGCCGAGTATAGTCAATGAAAAGCACCTACTAATTGCTTCCTTCTTCAATCACACCGCGTATCGTCATGGCGCACTTTGATTGGGAAGAATCGAATGTGATGAGTGTTTACCAACAAATAATTTGGAGCGAAACTACACACAAACATATTTTAAACTAGTTGGAGTAGGCGAGGCAACACGTGTTTTGTTTAACCACACACTAAGCACAATTTATTTATGTTTGTACATATAAGCGCACACAACTTCTCCAACAATAAATGGATAAAAAGTTATGATCAACTAACTACGATGAATTTTTTTGAGGTCCTAAAAAGGACCATTTCATTTCCGAGGGGGGTATAGCATTCGACATCATAAATTAGGGTACAACTACTGACTTTGTTGGATAATTCACCCAGTAGTTGAGTCTGCGGGACCCGAGCAATCTTCCGGTTCCGGAACTGCTTCCGGCCAGTCGCTGCTGGAGTCCGGCTCCATTAGACTACGCGCATCTTCTTCAGCCTGCAAGTCCACCAAATCCTGCAAGTCTTGTAAAATTAGTAAAAGCTCTAAGTCGTCATCGTTATTGCGGTCCGTCTCGTCACTGAAAACGGATGAGCCTCTACTCGAAGGTCTTTCAGGTTGTGCCATGATGATAGGAATGACTTCTCAGTCAAACGTTTCAATATTATAATGTCGATACCACCACCACCCCACACTCTTATACATCTCAAGTATAAACTAACGCCCACCCAATTCACACGTGATATAATATCGATTTAAACTTCTGGGTTTTATAAATGCGTTTATTATTTAAATAAATAAAAAATTACATAAATTATATCTATTTCTAACTGAACTTAAAAACTAATACAGGGATCTATTTGCTAATGAACCATTTAACACATTATAACTAAAATAAGTGTCGTGAATTATTACTGCATAAACTTTAGTGTCTTTTGGAAATTTAGTCTTTCTTGTTTGAAATTCTATTTTCACATCCACTGTGGAGGACTTCACGGCTTCTGGTTGTCGGCTGCAATCGATAATAAACACAGGATTTTGTAAATACTCTGCAAAATCCAACATTGGCTCGTTCATCTCACGTCCATAGTAACTGCATTGGAAATTTTCATAGTTGTAATAGGCAGTTTCTTTGAAAATTCTAGATTCCATCTTTCATATGGATATACCGAGGAATTCGAAGCGAATGTCGCTCACATCAGCCGTAGTAAATTCTGTGGCGTCTTTTTCTTTCTTATCACAATTTTCGTTTTTTTGGAAACCGATCATAAGAAAGCGGGGTCGCTCCAAACTGTTGCTAGTTCTTAAAGTCCAAATATCGGCTGAAGTCTCACGCAACGTAGGAAGTTCGTAAAAGTCCCATTTGCGGTAAGCTATTTGAATATTGGTACTTTGGCCCCCCTTATTCATGCGTGACATTATTTTCAACTTATGATCATCGTTGGGAATGATATGCCGAATTTTTCATTCAATTTTGTCGAGTGTGATGTCTGCTTCCACTTCACCGATATAACAGTTGGCGAAGGTACGAGCAATTATCAATATAAGCTCCTGCTTGACGTTGAAGATTCCCTTCGTATAGTCCTCGGCAAAACCCATTAAATACTTTAGAGGCAATTTACCAGAAAACACGTGCCACAAGTCACGTGTTTTCGATGAGATGCTGTTTATCTTCAGCCAGCCCCCAACCACAAGCTAGTAGGGGTTTCAACTGTGAAGCACCAAACGACACCATTGTTTTAAGGGCCGATGTAATTCCAGGTTTTCGAACAACTGTTACATGCTCACCACCCATTGCATATCGAATTTCGTCGAACAGAAAGGCTAGGGCATTATTGGATAGGTAGCACTTTTTAGCGGGATCTTTGGGCTTAAACTTCCCCTCGATATAGGTATAGCTTTCGGATATGTCCAGTATTATATCTTGGAAATGGACTGGAATGCGAATTTCATCAGAGTTTTGGAAAACTGGCGAACCATATGGTTTATATGTATGCTCTTGTAAACTGATGATGGAATTATCGAGAATGGGGCCGGTAAAGACGTCAATCTTGTCGCTGCTGGTCATCATTTTTGCTTTCTAGGCTTCAATTTCAAACCGCAGATTGATTTCAAAAAGCTTCGATCTTGTGCGGACAGTTGCTGCAACTGTGTTGTCGATCTCCAGTTCGAGCTACGAGTGAATCCCCCCGTGGTATCTCGCCTATTTTTATTAGGTTTTTCAACAGATTTTTGGATAGATTGAAATCTGTGCAATTGACGGTTGTAGCAAAATCCCATTGTTATACAACAATTTTCTTCAATTCCAATTTCACAATAATTTTCTCTCCTCGAAAGTCTATCAGGTGACCGTTATCATCCAAGATGCGTAATGTGATGTTGTCGATGAACTGACGTCCTTCAGGCTTTATGGGCAAATAAATATTGTTTTGAGGTTCTTTTGTAATTTTGTAACCGGGTTCAACTTCTATGTCAAATTCGAATAATGTGTGACACTCGCGAGAGTTCTGGTATGCTCCCGAGGTGATATTACAGTATATACGTATAATTCGCACTTTCATAATGTCTACGGGAAATACGGATTCATGCTTCACACCACTTTTCAGCTGGTCACTCTCATATCCTAACATCTTACCGATACTATTCGATACGCCGAAATCGATATTAAGCTTGGATTTCAATTCGCATTTCAATGTATTGTTATTGGCTTTCAGCGAAAATAGATTAGTATCATCATCTTTCGAGGACGCTCGCAACGCTGCAATCATAGCATGCTCGATTTCAACGATTTCGTATGCTCCAGGAGGAATAGTTACACGCGAAATTTTGGCACTACCTTTTTTACTGTATTCAAAGGCATTGTTGCTTTCATCAACGTTGAAAATAGAGTTGTATGTGTAGAATCCGAGAAGGGCCAATCCATATCGGCTTGTTTTATCCAATTCAATGGGTGGGAAAAAATCGGCGCTTAAAACACTGCTGTGTCCTGTTAATGTGAATGTGAAGGACATGACTGACTATCAAAACAATTATGCGACTATTTTATTGCTGATTGCAACAACAAGCTAGATATTTAAGGCTTTGTCGTCTTCCACGTCTTTCAGTTGACTGTGTGGAATTTTTCGTGGTTATCTTTACATCACCTGTCTTGCAGTAACAACAAAATATTCTTCTCGGGGCGGGTCCATCAGCTACATCACAGTTATTCCAAACTTCTTCATTGTAATGTTCGCCACAATATTGATATTTTAATATATCCACATCGTTTTGTAGAGCTTCAGGTAACTTGTCCCAGATCAATGCGATTTCTTTGGGTGCACACGCTATCATAACTTCCTTTGGCATCTCACCCAATTGCTCAGATGTAATTTTGAGTAATCCACCCGATCGGGTGAATGCTTTTAGTGATGATGCCATCTTTTTATAACCATCACGCTCAATCTGTGGCGTTATAGACATGGTTGGTGGTGATTTTGTGCCTAAGATTTCGAGAGAAACTTTAAACACAAGTGTCCACACTAGACTGTTCCAAATTGTTGTTGGCGGTCATATGTATAATAAATATTATTTGCAGGCTCTGGTCCTGTTTTTAGATAGCGCACTAATTAACAGGTGGTGGTAAATCACCAAAACTGTCATAGTATGTTACTTTCCCCCTATCTTTTCTATAGGCCACCCAATGTGTCCCTACACCTCGCATACTATCCAAATTAATAATTGCTGTCTCACAGCGTCGTGCGCCATGTATAGGTAGCGTGTCTCTCATAAATACACCTCTAAAATATGGTATTTTAATTTTTAATGCGTAGCTCTCTATATCGATATTGGATAGTGCTCTTTGAAGTAGGGATTCGATTAGTTTTTTGATTTATTGTGCATGAATAATCCTAACCCTGTTCGATACGGCTTTAGATACAATCCGCTTCCTCGTGAATTTAGGTGTAAGGTGGCTCCTGTTTTCTCTGCATTGGCATTTTTCACGGTTTTTATTGCGCGTACTATCCCACTGACCCCTCCTGCAATAGATCCAAGCGCCGATAATCCTGCAAAAATTGGTATGAGCGGTAACACTCCTCCAACTTTGGGTATGGGTAGAACTCTTGGTGTGCGAATCTTTCGCCTACCACCGGCTGCTTTCACAGACTTGCGTGCAGCTGCTATAGCTATTTTAGAAGCTTGCAGGAATTTTTTTTCAACAAATTTTCGTCCTCTAGCTTTCATCAGTTCTGAACGAATTGGTCTTCTCACAGCTGATCCAAACGCTACTTTTTTCACTTTTTGTCTACTTGTCCGTTTTGCGCTAGCCCTCTTTACAACACCATTGTGATGCTTTCCTTTGCGGGGCCTTTTCTTTTTCTTCAATACAGTCGATACACCCATCCCAAATCGCTGTTTTCCTTTCATGATATTTGTTACTAACCAAGCAGCAGCCCTTTCACCTACACTAGCGTCTTTAGATTTCACTCTCTCCCAAGCTCGTTGTTCCAACTCGTAGTCGGCCTGATGTCGTGCAGTTAAATTATCTTTATTATGCAGATAAGATAGATCGTGTTTTCTGCATGCAGAATCCAGGAGATTTATACCTCTATCATCTCGTGCCACACGTTTCAGAACTTTCGTGCCTGGACCGCAGTACTGATAGCCTCCTGGTATATGTAACTCGAACGGGAGACTATTAATTAGTGAGTTTACAATACCACATCCAGTCTTATTTGAATAACGAGAACGTCCACTTCGCTTGACGATTGACATCTAAATGACCGTGAACAGATTGTTATAATATTTATTTATTTGTGCGCGACTGCGTGTATGAAAAAACATGCGTTTCGTTAACCTAAAACAAAAGTTTAATATCGACAATTTTGATGAAAAAGTTGGATCTGGACATATGAAAAAGGAATACCGGAGACATGGCCCTTTGCTTCCGCGTTCTATTCGCGGCTTGCTAATCGGACCGTCAAATTGTGGGAAAACTAATGTTATGATCACACTGCTTATTCATCCTTCGGGATTACGTTTCGAGAACGTCTACATCTATTCAAAGTCCCTATACCAACCGAAATATGAGTATTTGAGAAAAATTCTATCACCTATCAAGGGGATGGGTTTTTACACATTTACTGATGCATCCAACATTGTGGAACCATCGGATGCCAGACCAAACTCTGTTTTCATTTTTGATGTCATGTGTGAAAAACAAGATATAATAAGATCATACTTTAGTATGGGCAGACATAAAAATGTGGATGCTTTTTACTTAGCACAAACCTATTCCCGAGTCCCAAAACAACTTGTACGTGATAATGCCAACTTAATTATTATGTTCATACAAGATGAAATGAATTTAAGACACATCTTCTCAGATCATGTTTCTCCTGATGTAACATTCACACAATTCCAGGAGATGTGTTCCAAGTGTTGGAACAATAAATATGGATTTCTCGTTATAGACAAAGATTGTTATTTGAATTCAGGGAGATACCGCAAAGGATTCGACAGCTATATATTTGTGTAATAAAAACGTATGCGATTCATTTCGTGTGTGCACAGTACTGAGACAACACCATGAATAACGAACTTGATTTAAAACGTAAACTGGTAGCTGTTACAGATGCAGTTAGAAAAAAATTTAAACAAATTAAAACAGAAACGGCGAAGCATAAACTTGAATTGGAGAAATTCTATGAACCAATCACTAAACCCTTAACATCTATCTCTAATGACGTAAAACAACAAAAACAGAGCAAACAACCGAATGCACAAACAAAACCGCGAAAGCAGAGTGTAAGCGTATCGATTGATCCATCAGAAATATTTGAGAAATCACCATCAATGGCGGAGAGCACATCACACCAGTCACTACAAATATCTACACCAATAGATGCAACGAGAAGGGAACACCTATTCGACACACCCCCATCATCAATTACATCCCCCACATTATCCGATGTATCTAGTGGTAAAACATCTACAAAATCTAGGAGCTATCTCAACGCACTTTTGAGCGGTCTTAAAAAATCTCAGTATGATACCGTTTATGGGGTACATTACGGTAATAAAAATAGTAAGGTCAAAAATAAGACATACATTGGCGATAAGGAAGTACGTTTTCCCGAAGGAAAAGTATCATTATATAATGACATATCGAGAAACATTGCTATATTCGATGGAAGCAGCGAACTTTACGATTTGCTGTTTTTGAAAAGTCCACCAGTATTGGATAGATTGGATGATATGCGTCCATCTGTACGTCAAAAGTACGCAAACATTTTAGAATTAACGAATGCCGCATACAACCGCTATGATGAAAAACATGGACTGACGGAAACTAGGTGGGAAAAATATTTGAAAATCATAAAACCTTTGATGCAAATGACGAAACTGGGAGAAGGCATTCGCAAAAAGAACAATAAATTTACCTTGCCACAAAAAAAAACTTCTATCATGTCAACATCCCGAATATGTTTATTGGAATAAGCCCAAGGAGTTGGTGAATAGATTACGTTTATTATGGAGCTCTAAGGCGGCAGGACACACAGGACACGATAACGAGATTATTTCAATTATAGAAGAGCTTCGTGAGGAGGGTATAATTTACTGAGCAATGCATACATCGCATCAGTGTACCACGAGACGCGCTACACTTGAATAGATATGGAACCTAGCAATGAAAAACTTAAAATTGTTGGAGAACTTCATAAAAATGTGAGGAAAAATTTTACTAGAAGACGAACGATTATTAAGGGTTATGGAGACTTGTGGCAGATAGATTTAGCAGAAATGCAGCAATTTGCTGATGAAAATGATGGGAATCGCTATATTCTGGTATGCATCAATTGTTACTCCAAGTATGTGTACGCTAGAGCTATCAAGAACAAAACAGGCGTTGAAGTTACTAGGGCAATGAAAAGTATAATAGAAGAAGCAGCATACACACCAGCAAATTAACAAAGTGATCATGGGAAGGAATTTTATAATAAGAATTTTCGAGCTCTTATGATGGAACACAATATTAATCATTATTCAACATATAGCACGATGAAGGCCGCAATTGTAGAGCGGGTTATAAGGACCATAAAAAATAATTTATATAAGCAGTTCTCCGCCAGGGGATCCAATAAATGGTTACATCTTTTACCCGCAATAACGAAAACCTATAATAACACCAAACATCGAACCATTGGCATGAAACCCATCAATGTAAAAAAAATACTGATTTGAATGTGTACAATCATATCAAAGTGATGCCTAAAAAATATAAATTTCGTCTGGGAGATATTGTGCGGATAAGCAAATATAAGATTATATTTGATAAAGGATATACACCATCTTGGTCGACAGAACTGTTTAAGATAGTGAAAGTTAACATTACCAATCCACCTACATATCTGCTGGAATCCATGGATAATCAACCAATTAAAGGATGTTTCTATGAAGCTGAGCTGCAGAAGACGAGAAGCCCAGATTTATATTTAGTTGAAAAAGTTCTTCGCGAACGTAAAAAAGACAATAAAAAACAATTATATGTTAAATGGTTAGGTTTTGCGAATCAGTTCAACTCGTGGATAGATGTCTGATATTGTTTAAATATATACTAGTTTTGAGTGTATACCTAGTTGTAAAATATAAGGGTTATAAATAAACAAGTTTTTAATATTTTTTGGTATTATTTCAGATTTAATATATGTTTAAGTATAAAATTGTTAGTTAAAAGTTTAGAAACAGTCATAAATTTTCTGTACGGTGGTGAATCTAATAAAGATGGTGATGATGGGATTTGTCATTCTTCACTTAAATCCCAACTTTTATCATATTCGTACTTTGCTAGCTGCAATCATACTATCAGCCTTCCTCTCAACACCCAACAATATTTTCATATCCTGTTTCATTCGCTTTTCCAAATCAGCTATTTTCTTCACAATATTTTCTTCCTGTGCATCATTACTTTTTATTTTATTTTCAAATGTAACCATTCGGTCATCAACGCTTATCAAACTTTCATGAATAGCCTGATATATTTTGTTTATTGTTTGTGCTAACTCTTGGCGCACTTTATGGATCTCCGTCAACACATATTGTTGGGTAGTAGCATCATCACTGGTTTCCGATATTGCAACATTCATCAAACGCTTTCCCACATTATTAAATTGATCATTGGGTGTTTTCACAAATCCAATCCCCGACGCACCACGTAAAATTTGAAATTTGTCATCATGAACTGTCTTCTGTCGACCATATCTATTGTTTTGTTAACGCTCCCCATTTCGATGAAGAAATGAAGTTATTAACTCTTGTGTCGATATTTATTAGCTTTTTCTCATTATTTTCCATCCATCGTTCTAAATTACGTATTTTTTTATCATTCTCCAGATCTTTGCTTATATAGATGTTTCCAATATCATCCATTTTTTTATCTGTGCTCTTAAATCTTTCGTTTATACGGTTTTCTAAATCATCTAATGCATATTTCATTTGTTGATGAAACAACTGAATTTTGTCACACACACAAGCACAAACTCCTGGGTACTAACATCATTATCTGCTATCGGTTTTGCAACATTTGATAGACGCTTCCCTTCAATATCATAGTGACCATCAAAAGTTAACTTGAACCCATTTCTCTGTGTACAACGTAAGAACTGATGTTTATTATATACTCTTTGTCGACCAAATTTATCTATAGTGTTGTTAACACGTCCCATTTTCAACTAAAACTAACCTTGTAATTATCAAACATTTGCTTATATGGGAAACTAACCAAGAGTAAAGGATGAAAACAAAAACACAAACCAATATGTACAAAAATGTATTATTACAAAGGTACAATTTACTAATTTTAATTATTTGGGTGCATTATCTTCTTCTTTTTGAGTTAGACCACTTTCCTGCACCAACCCATATTTTGTTACCAATTCACTTGGCATATGTGGTATTTCGATAAGGAATGTTTTCAGGTCTTCCTCGATCATTCGGCTACAGAATTCGTCAAGACCGAAGGAACCATATAAGTATCTTCGGCATAAGTTTGCTCCGGCATTAAAGTTGATGGCATCTTGAACATATTTTGAATCGTTTTGACCATTTGCAGGAACATCCGAATTGAAATATTCAAAATGTAATATTTCCTGGGCCATGTCTCCTAGTTTGCGCGCCAGCCAGATCACGTAGAAATCCAATTCTTCATTAACACTTGGTGTGTTATTGCTGATGTCACACATCTTTAGAAATATTTGAAATATGAATGTGTTCTAATATACAGGGTGTCCCAAAAAGATACCGACAAACTTTAAGGGGTAGTAGGGGACATCAAAACAAGCATTTTTGTTTATATAAACATATCTCCGCAAATGAGCCATTTGGGCTGTAGAGCAAAAAAACTGTTTGATACTTTTATTCTTCGCAATAATTAAATCACTGTTTACTTATAAATTTTGCTTTATTATCAAATAAATTATGATTTACAATAATTGTTCAAAATGTTGACCATTTACTTCAATGAAAAGATTACACCGTTGGGTCATTGACTGAAAAGTTTAGTCTACGAAACACCTGTTCGTAATGAGGAAGATCTGATAGCAAGGATACTGGCGAGTTGTACTCATGTAGAAGCTATTCCCGGAATATTCCAAAGAGTTCGCGAGTTTAACAATTATTGTAAACCATAATTTATTTGCTATTAAAGCAAAATTAATAAGTAAACAGTGATTTAATTATTGCGAAGAATAAAACTAGATACCAAACAGTTTTTTTGCTCTACAGCTCAAATGGCTCATTTGCGGACATATGTTTATATAAACAAAAATGCTTGTTTTGATGTCCCCTACTACCCCTTAAAGTTTGTCGGTATCTTTTTGGGACACCCTGTATACAAATTACAATACCCTAAAACTCATTACATTTCTCAAAAACTATTAATAATAATATTTTGTACACCCCATAATATAAAATCTATTCCAAACACCCAAAATTCAAAAGAGACTTAGTGTTACCCCCATATGACTGCGAACTTTGCCCCAAATATGTCAGCGTGTATTTGTCAGATGAAGAATTCATAATTTCGATGGTGTTCTCCGGTAGCATTTCCGCTACACGTTTTGGCAAAAATGTTTCAAAAGCCACATCTCCGGTTTTTTCATACAATGTGACAAGAATAGTTTTACCAAACCGTGTTACCATGGGCACCAGTTTTCTAATTATGTAAACTTCATCCACCTTTAATGAAGAAATTTTTCTTCTTTCGAGAAAATTAACATCTTTGTTAAGCATATTATTGATTTCAACCAAGGTATCCTTTGAAATACTCATAGTTTAGGAAAAATGTAACAATTTTTACGGTACCTTGAACACACTTTCACTTTCGGAATACTTCACAAACACAATATTTCTAGTTTACTTTGAAGGCGACAGATCGTACTACAAACGATGCTGGCGTGTGACTATGGCAACTTTCCTCAATCGGAAAAGAATTTATATACATCTCACGGTTGGTGGGAGGTGCTAACACCTGAATATTCAAGGTCGAATATGTTAGAGAAGTGGTGGGGGGTACTCAAGGTCACATTTCAAGGTCAGGGAGAGACAAAAGTGGGAGGCGCTCAAGGTCACATTTCAAGACCAAGGTTAAGGTCATGTGACGTCAGAGGAGTGGGGGTGGTGTCAAGGTCGTGTGACGTCAGAGGAGTGGGGGGTGGTGTCAAGGTCATGTGACGTCAGAGGAGTCGGGGTGGTGTCAAGGTCATGTGACGTCAGAGGAGTGGGGGGTGGTGTCAACGTCATGTGACGTCAGAGGAGTGGGGGATGGCGTCAAGGTCATGTGACGTCAGAGGAGTGGGGGGTGAATCCGAATCGGGCTTTGAACACTACTCGCATTTTCTGGAATAACTTCACTTCCTAATGGAAAGTATGCATGAAATACGCGTTTAACGGACAAACTCAAGCGTATAACAATGGAAAAACCGTTCCTACCGTATGTTTGGATCGAAATTGGAAATTATTTTCATCAAGTTCATTTCCTGGCGTACTTTTGATTGAAAACCGCATTAAAGGCGGCAAAACAACCCAAATGCTTCTTAAAAGTGCTTACTTTTCCTCTAGTGAGAAAGTAAATTATCCGAAATTATTGTAAGATACAATTATTTTTTCATTTTCTGGAATAACTTCACTTCCAAATAAAAAGTATGCTAGAAATACGCGTTTAACGAACAATTCAAGCTTATAACAATGGAAAACCATTCCTAACGTATGTTTGGATCGAAATTGGAAATTATATTCATCAAGTTCAGTTCCTGGCGTATTTTTGATTGAAAACCGCATTAAAGACGGCAAAACAACCCAAATTCTTCTTAAAAGTGCTATTTAGACTTGTTCTCTAGTAAAAAAGTAAATTATCCGAAATTATTGTAAGATAGAATTATTTTTGCATTTTCTGGAATAACTTCACTTCTAAATGAAAAGTATGCTTGAAATACGCGTTTAACGAACAAATTCAAGCGTATAACAATGGAAAAACCATTTTTAACGTATGTTTGGATCGAAATTGGAAATTATTTTCATCAAGTTCATTACCTGGCGTATTTTTGATTGAAAACCGCATTAAAGACGGCAAAACAACCCAAATTCTTCTTAAAAGTGCTTTTTAGACTTGTTCTCTAGTGAAAAAGTAAATTATCCGAAATTATTGTAAGATAGAATTATTTTCGCATTTTCTGGAATAACTTCACTTCTAAATGAAAAGTATGCTTGAAATACGCGTTTAACAAACAAATTCAAGCTTATAACAATGGAAAAACCATTCCTAACGTATGTTTGGATCGATATTAGAAATTATTTTCATCAAGTTCATTTCCTGGCGTATTTTTGATTGAAAATCGCATTAAAGACGGAAAAACAACCCAAATTCTTCCTAAAAGTGCTTTTTAGACTTGTTCTCTAGTAAAAAAGTAAATTATCCGAAATTATTGTAAGATAGAATTATTTTCGCATTTTCTGGAATAACTTCACTTCCTAATGAAAAGTATGCTTGAAATACGCGTTTAACGAACAAATTCAAGCTTATAACAATGGAAAAACCATTCCTAACGTATGTTTCGTTCGAAATTGGAAATTATTTTCATCAAGTTCATTTCCTGGCGTACTTTTGATTGAAAACCTCATTAAAGACGGCAAAACAACCCAAATTCTTCTTAAAAGTGCTTTTTAGACTTGTTCTCTAGTAAGAACGTAAATTATCCGAAATTTTTGTAAGATAGAATTAGTTTCGCATTTTCTGGAATAAATTCACTTCCTAATGAAAAGTATGTTTGAAATACGCGTTTAACGGACAAATTCAAGCGTATAACAATGGAAAAACCATTCCTAACGTCTGTTTGGATCGAAATCCTTCTTAAAATTGCTTACTTGTTCGCTAGTGACAAAATAAATTATCCGAAATTATTGTAAGATACAATTATTTTCGCATTTTCTGGAATAACTTTACTTTCAAATGAAAATTTGGCCTGAAATACGCGTTTAACGAATAAATTCAAGCTTATAACAATGGAAAAACCTTTCCTAACGTATGTTTGGATCGAAATTGGAAATTATATTCATCAAGTTCAGTTCCTGGCGTATTTTTGATTGAAAACCGCATTAAAGACGGCAAAACAACCCAAATTCTTCTTAAAAGTGCTATTTAGACTTGTTCTCTAGTAAAAAAGTAAATTATCCGAAATTATTGTAAGATAGAATTATTTTTGCATTTTCTGGAATAACTTCACTTTTAAATGAAAAGTATGCTTGAAATACGCGTTTAACGAACAAATTCAAGCGTATAACAATGGAAAAACCATTTTTAACGTATGTTTGGATCGAAATTGGAAATTATTTTCATCAAGTTCATTACCTGGCGTATTTTTGATTGAAAACCGCATTAAAGACGGCAAAACAACCCAAATTCTTCTTAAAAGTGCTTTTTAGACTTGTTCTCTAGTGAAAAAGTAAATTATCCGAAATTATTGTAAGATAGAATTATTTTCGCATTTTCTGGAATAACTTCACTTCTAAATGAAAAGTATGCTTGAAATACGCGTTTAACAAACAAATTCAAGCTTATAACAATGGAAAAACCATTCCTAACGTATGTTTGGATCGATATTAGAAATTATTTTCATCAAGTTCATTTCCTGGCGTATTTTTGATTGAAAATCGCATTAAAGACGGAAAAACAACCCAAATTCTTCCTAAAAGTGCTTTTTAGACTTGTTCTCTAGTAAAAAAGTAAATTATCCGAAATTATTGTAAGATAGAATTATTTTCGCATTTTCTGGAATAACTTCACTTCCTAATGAAAAGTATGCTTGAAATACGCGTTTAACGAACAAATTCAAGCTTATAACAATGGAAAAACCATTCCTAACGTATGTTTCGTTCGAAATTGGAAATTATTTTCATCAAGTTCATTTCCTGGCGTACTTTTGATTGAAAACCTCATTAAAGACGGCAAAACAACCCAAATTCTTCTTAAAAGTGCTTTTTAGACTTGTTCTCTAGTAAGAACGTAAATTATCCGAAATTATTGTAAGATAGAATTAGTTTCGCATTTTCTGGAATAAATTCACTTCCTAATGAAAAGTATGTTTGAAATACGCGTTTAACGGACAAATTCAAGCGTATAACAATGGAAAAACCATTCCTAACGTCTGTTTGGATCGAAATCCTTCTTAAA